AATTCTTAAGTGTGATAATTCCTTCAGTTTTTCTATATTTCACAAAAAAACCCCAACACCCTTGGTATTTCATAATCTTCTCTTTGAAAGTGGTGGTGGTGTGGTACAACATGTTATGCCAAATCCATAGCTGTCCTGGGTAAAACCTCCACTTATGGACTTCTAGATCATGAAACAAGGCCCACAGATTGTGTAATATTTGTGCTATAGGAATATATGATATTGCAGGGGATGTTCTAATTCTTCTACCGTGTACTTGGCATATGTGATTTGTAACAAATAATTGAACCGAGCTTTGTTTGCGTAGTCCAGCTATAGAGAAGGTAATTTATTATGCAGAGCCTCTCTGCATTGCTGTGGAATTTTTTTAATAGATCAGATGAGAACAGGCAGCTTTCTCCTTTGCACATGCCTCCTGTTCTCATTTCTGACCTCATTCCATGAGACCAGGGATCTTCTCATCAAAACTGTTCTATCTTCCTAATCTTTCTGTGTTGAACAAGGCAAATCGTTCTCCCCCAGTTCTTCATGGATGACTTCTCCAGCAAATTCTTCTAAGGGATTGTTAAATATCTGGAGTGTGAAATTGTGTGGAGACTTTTGAAACAGAAGTGGAAACAGAACATGCATTATAGTCACATGTTATGTGTTTAAACTGTTTGAGGTCTATAACACGGGACAAAGTAAACTTCAGATTAAGACCAGAACTTTATGACTGTTGATACCAAACAATTAGGCAAGAAAATGTGGAATATTCCTTTGGAAAAACATCAGTTGTGTTAACTACACACAAGTTTATTGCTGGTGCTTTTTTTTATACAATCACAGCATTGAAAAAAATCCTTTAATCAGAAACTGATTTTTGTATCATACTTTTTTTTCTGTGTCTAGGTTTTTTTAAAGTTTTTTTTTCTTGATGCTTTGGACTTTTTTTCAGTTTAAGTCTTAATCCTGTCCCTTACTCCTATTTCTTGTGCCTGGTTTTAGGAGAATTTTCCTTGTCTCTGCACACATCAATGCCATTTCCTGCTATGAAAGCGAATAATAAATATCTACTCTGAGTACAACTTTATCAGCAGCTCTAGCTGCTTTTGAGCACATATCTTAGGGTGATAATATACATCTTTACTTGCTGGTAAGAAAGTAATGTAGGACTTTGCCTTGGTCAAAATACATAGCATCTACTGTTAATTTGTCTTCTGGTAGGGGTTTTACACTGTTTTTGAAAAATCCAAGTATTAGTAAACTTTAGTTTTAAAGGTTAAAAATAGAGAGTGTATTACAATTATTCAATCTAGACAGTAGATCTAGAAAGATTATAAAACAGAAAATTTCATCTTTCCCTCTTTTCTGGAAAAGGTAGTTCTTCCCCTTGCTGTAGTCTTCTGAAGCTCCTCTGCCTTATGTAATTTTAGTTTGTTTTAAAAAAAATGCCCATGTTTCAAAGGAATATTTTTTCCATTTACAACTTGCCCTTCAGGTAACTTAAACCCCTTTAGACATCATGCAGATAATTCAATACTTTTGATAACTCTCACCAGTTAGATAGTAGTTGCTATGGGGTTGGAGACAGAGAAGAAAAGAATCGGAGCAAGAATTTCATCATAGTGTTTACACATGCATATAAATCACAGTACTGAGGAACTAGGAGTTGTTTTTTATTTGGTCAGGCTTTTTTTGCTTTTTCACAAATAAACACAGTTTACGCACATGAAAGCACAATAAATCCTTAAGTATTCTGTGCTGAATTTCATCAGCGTTCTAACCTGAACTGTCTGACCTCATAAAAATATTTCCCTTCCTGGATTTTTTTTTTGCCCTGTGCTTTGCCCTGTAGTTTTATCTTCATGTCCAAATTAATTTTGGCCATGTTCGCAGAGCTGATTGCAGGCAGATTTGAACTTTGATCCCTCTGGGAGCCAGCTGGCTGGAGGCCAGCTCCGGCCATGTTGCAGTGCCTGAACTGATGAGCTGTGCTTCTCAGCAAGTCCCATCAAATGCACCCGAGCACCAGGAAGGCAGGGTCATGGCCTGCAGTTCAGAGGCAGCTTGTGCATGCCCAGTTCAGAGCATCAGCAAGGAGAGCTCATGCCTGCACGTCATTCCCCGGGCACAAAGACCTTTATCTGACCACAGTCTCTCCCTGCTTCTGGAGACTCAAACAAAGAAGGCATTTAATAATTTTCTGAACTTATCTGTAGTAGCTGTTATTTGAACCTCTTTCTCATATTGTAATGTTTGCCTTTTACTGGGGTTTCTTTTTGGCTTACCTTATCACACATTATTGAAACCTTTTAATATGGCTTATCATGTGCTTTGCTAATTAAAACTCATGGTCTGTTTTAACTTTTCTGCTTTTATCTCCCTGGCAAAGGGAGGCTTAGACTCGTCCTTAGTAGCATTATTTTATGGTTTTTCCATGATCTCTTTTCCACATTTAGTTCATTGGAAATTGCCAGTGTGGTTACACTGGCCTGTCTCTGCACTTTCTCTCCAGAGATACTCAGACACGTCATACAGTCTCTCAAAAACTACCATCTCCCATCCATCTCTGTCCCTTGATTACTTTCCCAGGAAATCTCCTATGCCTGTTTTCTGAGCCTGCTGACCCTCATGCTACTGTCCTTGTCTTTGCAGAATACCAGTCTCATCCTACAGTCACTTTCACTCCAACTACGACACACCCGCAAAGCGTTGGTCAGATATTCTCTAATGGAATAAAATCTATTTTGTCTGTTCCCTCATAAGCTTTGTTCCTCTGGAAAGGAAATAGTGTCCTTGGTGCATTTTTACATTTCTCAGCATTGGTCTGAACAGAGTCTTTCTGCTAGAAGCAGGTTCTGACATTAGGATGCCTCTTTTTATCCTTCAGAAAAGCCTTGGCCATCTCTGCCTCCTTGTGAGCTAAAGTGACAATATTTCACAACACTGAAGATCATGTTCCCTTTCCCATATTGTGTTTAATGCTCAAACTGCCTTCACCACTGAAGTTCAAGTTCCAATAGAAGTTAAATGTGTTATTTCAACTAAATACTGAAAACAATACACTGTCTGGGTGTAGCTTTTCATTTATGTATGAAACAACAGTCTTCCTCTAACATCATTAACATGTAGTCATGAATATATGGTGTTTCCTCATAGCCTGATGGGAAATGAATGCTGAAAGCAATTTTGTGATTTTCTCTAAATCAGAAGATGGAATTTATTTTTTAATCTCAGCTGAGATGAAGTATATGTAATTTGTCAAAAGAAATCCTAAGTATGCATGAGGAGCTTTTATATGGATTTTGCAGCAAGTATATCCACAATTGGAAGAGTTTCAGCTGAGACACTGCCTGAGCAGATATGGTTTCTATGTATTTAGTAACCCTCCCTTCATAGTTTTTTCAGCTCATCTCGAACCTGTAAACAAAGGTTAAAGTTACTGTTAGCCAAAAAATGATGTAGCTGTGCTTTCCTTCCTGGGCCTCTCCCAAGATACACTTCATGCCACTAAGGAGGGACTGTTCTCCCTTCCTGAATTTGTAAACTCTATATTTCAATGATGGTGACTTTTTACTTTATATGGCTCACATTAACATGTGTTAAATTAATTTTATAGCTTCCTGCTTCAAAATTCGCTGAGTACTGCAATTCATTCTTCAGGGGTTCCTCCCCTTTTTCCATTTGAGCTTATACGCGCTTCTACTGGCCACTTTGATTTTAGTGGTACTGTGAAGGAGTCATTTATCAGAGAATTACTTATTCTTGCTTCTTACAAAGTACAAAACAATTTACAAGAAACACATCTCAACCTTTGAAGTCAGTTCCTTTTTTACCCTTCAGCTCATTGCTGTTGCTTGCTAAATAGCACATTCTAAATTGCTTCTATTAAAGTTGATGGGTCAATGTCACAATAGCGAGAGATTTTTCACAATATATATTTAATTTGACAGTTGTTGTGAATGTGCCACACTTCAGCCCTGTTGGTTTCCAGATTAGCATTAAAACAATTTTGCAGGAAGTGGGCAACAGAGAGGTTTCCATTTTTGCTCTTTGAGAAAAAACAATGAGAAACAGAAAGTAAAGCAGAAAGTTTTCCTAAAGAAGCACCTGTGTTTTTAAATACCACTCAAACCAGTCCGCACATTTAATAAGTTTAATTCAACTGCTCAAATATTATGAAACTCTCTATATCTGTGTGTTATGTACGTATACATACATTAGTCAATCAATCACAGAATATTCTGACTTGGAAGGGACCCACAAGGGTCATTGAGTCCAACTCTTAAGTGAATGGCCCATACAGGGATGATGTGTTATGAAAAATGCTGTAATTATTTTCATTTTAACAAATAATTACTATTTTAAAAATTAAATTATTTGTTTGAAAAATGCCTATATGGTCCTATACTTTTCATTTGTTGGAAGTCAATTATTTTAACAATGCATTTAGCACAGTTTTTATAAGGATAGTGTTGCAGTAATTGCTGGTACTTCTATTTTCTTTCCCTTAAAAAAAACATGTTAAATCATAATTGGTAAACAATTAGAAAAAAATAGACTGTGGTAACTTTAGTGACATTTTTAAACAAATTACTCTTAGGAAAGTGTATTGATTACTAATCTATACTAATGAAAACTCTCCAAAACCAAGAACTGAATGAACCTCAAAGGATCTTCTGTCTTTACACCTTCTATAACTGATTCTTCAGGACATGTGAGAGTTGTGTTTCTAGGGAAGATGTAATCTTACTACCTAACCTTGTGGGTTTTGTTCCTCTAACTTTGAGAATAAAAAGAATACTTTGTTCTTCTGCTTCAATGTCATTCTGATACTAGTGTAAAAAACAAGTGTACAATAGTAATTTTCTGTTTTGATGCCTACTTCAAAATTGTCAACAGTGTAATAGATCTACTGCAAATATAAATTGATTCTGAAAACCATTATAAATCCAAGGACTGTATAATTCTTCCATTGTCTAACTTGAATTATCTGCTTTTTTTTTTTTTGTCTGTAGACACCCTATTTTTGGCCATCAAATTGTTGGGAGCCGGAAAACACAGACTATGGTCAGTGTAGAAATCTTTCCTATTTCTTTTGGAATTTATGTGTTATATGAATGAACGTGTCATTGCAGTCTGTCTTGTTTAATCATCCCAATGTTTAAAACGTAATTATATGTCATGTACTTCCTGTGCAAGAACTGCTGATATTGAAGTGAATGTATTGTTACCTTTTTGAAATTTTATCAGAAGTCTAACAAAGTCAGATTTTGGAGTCGATCTGAAGAGAAAAGTTAAAAAAAAAACCCAAACCCCAAAACTCATCAAAATCTACCTTGTCATTTACATATTCTGTTTGCTCCAGCAAGAATAATTATTTACAGTGACAAAAATCTCAGTGAAGCAGTATACACTTTATTGATGGTTGTGCAATGGTTATTCTCAGATTCAGACCCAAAGATATGCGTAGTTTAGAACTCTTCTTTCAGATATAGACCATGTGGAAAATTATTATGAAAACCAATATGGTTCTATTATGAAAATACTTTGTTTATTTGCCTGTGTCTTGAGGACTTAATAAATTATATACTGTAATTACTGACAGCAAAATGTGAAGATAATAAGTAGTAATGTATTAGAAAAAAATCATTAAAAATTATAACAAAATTAGGTGCTTCTCTACATCAAATAGTGACTTAATTTTTAAAGAAAGTGAATCCTGTTCACTCTAATCCAGACTGTAATTCTAATCCAGGTAATTTATTTAGGTAACTGAGCATGTACATGGTAGTTTTCAAAACCTCAAACTTTGAAAGTCTCTTTTTACAGTTTTTCAGAAATTTAGGTGAGTGTTCACTTGTAACATGGATTCTTTCTCAGCCTTTGGGAGCTGAGGACCTCAGGGATGGATGGTTACAATAGAAGTTTCCTTACTTTTTGGAACAGACACAGTTTCATTTCAAATAAATTGCTAAATAAAACAATTTCAAGCTGAGACTCTCAGCAGAGCTGAGTGCCTTCAAGCTAGAGTTTGAAAATGTGACAGTTTTCTCATCCTATAGAAGTAGAAAAATGTTATTTAAAAAAAAAAATACTGATATTTGAAGATATCCAGTAGATAGTCGTTGAAAGCTATCAAGGAGGAGTAATTCATACCACACCTGTGTGCTCAGCCACTCCATATGAGTCGCTGAAGAATAAATGCTTGATTTACTCAGTATAGTCTCCTAACACGGTAAAGATCAGCAAGTAATTTACTATGGTTTTAAGAGTCATTGAGTTGTTCAGCAGTAATGTGTATCACATTACCAGGGGGATTTTAATAAATAATTATATGCTTAACAGGTTTGAGATCAGGATGAGAAAGTTTCTGTTAATATCCTTTAGTCTAAAAGGATATTAATCCTTTCTAGTGACAGCTGATCAGTGGATTGGTGAATGAATTATGTACCTTAGTCAGTGAATAGAAATCTTGTATAATCTGTTCAGTTTTGGCATGCCAGGAATACAGAATTAAACTTGGAATCAGTTTCTTCATCATGCGAGGAGGTGCCTTTGTTGAACAGTAAATTTATTCATTTGAGAGCTTTTGAGATTAAAATATGTTCCAGTTGGTGAATTTAAGATCTTCTGTTGCAGAGGGAAGAAGGGGAAGGGGAATTCCCAGCCCTGCCATCTCATTGCTCCAAGTCATGAGCTAAAAGTGCAATCCTCTAAGAAACACACTGCAACTTCCCCACCGAACAGGGCCAGAGCATTGCACTAGAGCTACCTAAGGTGACGGTGTGTCACCAAACTGGATAATGCTAGAGCATTTGCAGAAAAATAAACTTTTCAATAGTGTTTTTATTAGGTTAGCATCTTCCCAGTCCCAGAAATTATCATTTGCTTTGTAAACGATAGTGATCAGAGGATTACAGGATAATCAGAATATATTTAAGAAACCAAAATATATATAAAATAGGTTTGAAACAAATTGAGAATATTAAAGGATAAATTTCACCTCAAATACGCACCAAAGATGTTCTGTAGATTTTCACAGTAATTGCTACTTCCTAGAAAATATAGTAAATAGAATTCATGTTATTACAGATATGCAAATGCATTTCATACTTATCATGCATTACAGTGCTGTGCAGTGCTCCCAATTTCATGGACTTGTCCTGATCAACCTTGAAACTGCACCCTATAAAATGAGTGGATCAGGCATTAGAAGTCTCTCAAGACCAGCAAAAAGTAGACTTTCTCTGTAATCTTCCTTTATCGATGTTTTTAACAAAGCAAACCACTTTCTTTGGCATTAACCTAATTTTAAAAGCCTTTCTAAACATACTAGAATTTTATTTTAATTTAAAAATTAATCCCAACCATTCATCATTACTCGCTCATAGCTGGGCTACTGTCCAGAACATGGCATACTACCAGGAAAATAATTTATCTTAAACAAGAAATTAAATGAAATTGAGATACTGTGTGTTAGTTTGCTATCAGAGCTAAGAAACAAATAATCTTTACATCTTTGTATAATTCATTAATATTTTCTCTAAAATATAATTTGTTGTGCGTGAGCTTTTAATATCAAATATTTTCCGTAATGCTATGTCTTCATGGCAAAAAAGAGGGCTTGGATTAATTTACTTTATGTCAAAATGGAATCAAGTAGCCTTTTCATTGTAACTTTCAAAGTATTGATTGTGATCATTCTGAAGTTACTAAAAACTTCTAATTTTCATAAAGTGCTGAAAACCTCTCTCCTTTTTCTTGAAAATCACACTTGAAGGGTTGTTGAGAGATGCCTCAAATTGCAAATAATTTTTGCAAAGGCAGGTTCTTAGGTTCCATCTGTTGAAGATACCCACTCTCTTGCCATATGTCTTGGAGTCCACCCAGGCAGGACATGTTGTTCTGTGTAGAATCCCATTGGCTTCAGTTGTATTTTATTAGTGAAAATAAGTAATAACAATAATAATAATAACAATTATTATTAAGGCGAGTGTAGTTCAAATAACTTTGTTTTTCCTGTGAGTTAAGTCATGTTGCTGAATTATGATTTGGTTTTGTGACAAACCGAATCGGATCTCAATTCAGAAAAACTGGCTCTTGAAATGAGCACACCTAATGGCTGAGCATGTGACCTACCCATAATTATGTTCTATTTTCTTACAGATGTAATTTTATAACTGACAGATTATTTTTTTCTCGCATATTATAAACAGGTCATGTAATTAAGAATTAATTAAATAATTAATTAATTATTCCACGTACCTTTAGCCTCAGTTCTCATGGGACCTGTCAGGTTCTCTGGAGGTTTAGTGACTCAAAGTTGTTGCAAATTTGCAGATTTCAGTCCCTTACTATTCTCTTTTTTTTTGAATAAGTAAAAAATATGAAAGGTTAGGGAGAATCTCCATTCACAACAAAATATCAATTATTTTGTTTTTTTCTTTTTATTCCTTAAGCTCGAACCTAAGGAAACAATTTAACAGAGTTGTGACAATGTAAGATGCTCATAAGACTTTCAGATAAATAAGATATGAAGAATAAGTAATTTTTACTCATTTACTCTAGTGAACTTTTGTTGATGATTAGACTCAAAAGTATCTCTGACATACAGACCTTTTCTTACAGTTAACTGCATATTAAAAAAAATAGAAGTATGTTCAAAGGAGAGAGAGAATTAAATTTAGAAAGTTCCACAGTCGCAGTCATAAGAAGGTTTGGACTCATACTGGAAGACAAAAGTCCACTGCATCTATATATTTGCAACAGGATGTTGTTTGAGTCTTGTAATTTTACTGGTGTGCGTTTCTCCCATATGAGTTAAAAATGGAGGAGTACTGCAGAATCTTGGTAAGTTATGGAGAACACAGTAAAGAACTGATAATGCAACATGATTTTAAAATCATATGACCACTTGATCTTTAAATGATACTAAATGAGACTATTTTTCTATATATGCAAAGCCAATTCTTAAATTTTGCTGCTGTGAAGAAAGACAAGTTTTGAAAATGTAACATATTTTCAGTAACCTTCCTGGTAAAGTCATAAAAGCACTCTCCTAGAGAATTAGAGCAATCACGGTGGTGAGATGGGGTAAATCTTATTTAATTGCTCCCTTTAAAAATGTAAGATACCTGTCTGGATAAGTCCTGCAGTTCTTTAGGCAGTCGTGACTTTGTTTTCCAGCCTGGGCTACAGTAGGATAAGGAAATCATTTACTTTTGCTGTGTCAAAGCTATTGTCTCATTTTTATGAAAGCACAATTCTTTCCTTATTAAAGTTACTTGATAATCAGCTAACAAGTCAGTCTGAACAAAATTTCCTTCCTAATGATACCTTCTTATCACTTAAAAGCAGCCTCTGCTGCTCTGTTCGAAATGTGAGCCTACACACCTGGCTCATGTCCCTCTTCTCTCCCAGACTTGCAGTCATGCTGAAAAGTACCTAATGCACAAAATGTAACTGCAATCATGCATCATGTTTTTCACATATGGAAAATTTTCATATAATTTTCTCTTTAGAGAATTTTTAGGCATATTTTATATGCCTAGCCTCAAATCCCTCTATGGAAATTTGATTAGTCCAGGAATTTTTCTCTCTCTTTTGTCTTGTTGTACCCTATACCATGGAGTAACTGTCTCGAAGGAGAACTGTACAGAGAATGCATTACATATTTTCTTTGCCCAAATGCTTGGGGAGGATTTCCTTGGCAACAGCTTATTAGTAAGCAATTTGTATTTGAGAAATATGGAGTCCTATTGCTTACCTGAACTCTTCTAGAACACTGCATGTGCTCAGCATCTCTGGAAATCAACCCATAACTATGAGTCAATAGCTTGGGGCAAAACTGGTAACAGAGTAGCACTTTTTGATGTAATTGTGATTTATATAAATAAAAATTTATTTGTTAAAATTTATACCATGAGAATAAGGAGGAATTTAAGAAGATAGTGTCGGTTAGTTATTGCTAAGACTAGGTTATGATCCCTTATGTGAGTGACTTTGCTTTGAGATCTGGGCTATCTGAATCAAATGAGCTTAGGAAAGATACTTGCATTGGCAGAAAG